GTCTTCACATACATTTTCTGTAGCTTTAGAGTACAGGTGCCATAAGCTAACATTTTATTTCAGTCCTTGTGGAGAAATATTAAAAGACAAGTCTGAGCAAAGGACGTCCATGGTGGCAATAGTTCAACAGAAACAAGAAGTTTGCAGCCCCAGGAGTGGGGACACTGAGGGAGCCAGGTGTGCTGCCCTGAGGGAAGCAGGAAACAAAGGATGGAGTGGCATGGAGGTGTTGTGGCCATGCTCTGTTTAAAACAATGTAGCCAATGGGAGCTAAGCCAAGGAAGGGCCCAACCAGTCACCAAAAGCTGAATTTTGTTTTATTGGCTAGAAAATACATAAAACTTTTCATACCTGCGTATGCTAATGAAGTAAAACCTCTACATGCTTTACATGTGTGAACTAAAATCACTCAATTTCCATGTAATCATGAAATTACATCAGCTGGAACTTTTTCTTTTCCTCGCCCCCAAAGAAAACTATAAATACAGCATAGGAGGGAGGGGGTCAGAGGACACTTGCCCTGTGTATCCTGGGATGACTGATGGGCTGTACCCTGCTGCTTTTCCACTGGGGTGCCTTCAATTTTGTATATATTTTACCAGTGTGTGGATGCTGATGATAAAATGTTCTGTCTGTGCCTTTTTCCTCATTCCATTCACCCAAACTTAGTCCAGTTGGTTGAGAAAATGCTTTGGAGCTTTAGCCAGCAGTCAGCCTGTTAAGATCCCGTAACTGATCCATCTTCCTTCATAATAAACTTAGAAGTTACTTAACAAGGTCATTCTCTTTACAAATCTTCAAATGTTTGTACCAAGCTATAGCAAAATTCTGCATTTATTACTAAAAAATAAAATATTGAAGCAAAAAGGATGTCCCATACATTCAGGAGCTTTTCCTTTCCTCCATGGGAGGCCTCAGTTAAACCAGCTGAAATAAATAGAAATTGTTCCATGAGATAGGAATAAAACTGGATTTGTTACAAGTGTCCATGTTAGGTTCTTTCACTTCTTTTATAGGCAACTCCCACCCCTTTCTCTCCCAATACATTCTATACATCTTCCTATATTTTTCTTTTTTAAATTCTGGAAGTGTAAAGTGTGAGAAGAGACAGAATGAAAGGCATCAGAGAGTTGCATTTTTAAAGTACCAACAAAATCTTAACAGAAAGTTCTGAAAAAATACTGCTTGTTATTATTGTATTGTATTTTAGAAACAGGCTTCTATCACAAGTCAGTATGGCTTTGGGTCAGTTATGGGTTTGATTTAGACAATGAGCACAGTAACTTCAGGTGGAGGACTGGTAATGCAGCCAGAAGGGTATTGCAAAAACATAACACTATTGAGAAATAAAATTATACCTTTGGGGTGAATACCATTAATATTAAAAAAAAAATAAATTACAATTCCAGCAGAGGAAAACTACTCCTTTAAAAGTTACTGTTTCTGAAAATGAAACAGAAGAAAGTTATTTCTGTTCAACTAGTGTGAAAATCTGTAGTTTAAAAAAACATTTGTATTGTTTTATATAAATATTACAAAAGTTTTCACTAGCTAAGATATGTTAATATAAATTAAGTGAAATGATTGTCTAGGCAGCAAGAACAAGAAAATCCACTTGTTCTTAGTGTCACACTCACACTGTGTTTTTAAAGGAGATAAAAAGATAGCTTTACTCTGCTTATGATGCATTATACTCAACTCTAACATGGAGAGGGGACATCTTTTCACACACATGCCTAAGTTTGCATGTCATGTGTGCTCACAGCAGTCAAATAATGAAAGGAATTCTCCACTCTCTGAATCCAAGATTGAATTCTAAATTGTACCATCTGAGAACTAATTTTATGATCATGATCTCCAGCTGTCAATCAGCCAGGATTTAAAAAAAAAAGGTTTTCTGAGAAAGAAAACATGCTGCAGTTTCTGATATGATGATACAATTTCAATACTAAAAAGTATCTATCTCTTCTATTGTTACCTTCTGTTGTTTTCATGTCTCCTTGGTTTAGCTGGGAGGCCTTGCTTAAACTTTCAATTTACTGTGGATATCGCATCCTACAAATATGCAGAAGCCAGGAAACTTTATGAGCTTTAGATTGCAAAGTTGGGTACATGATACCTCTGGTAGTATGATATCTAAAAAGTCACATTAAAATATGATCCATCAGTTTAACTAAAATGAGGTCAGAAAATAACCAGGGTTATTCTTTTATATTTTTTTCTGTCATTTGTTACAAAGTGGCCAGCACCAGATGCCAATTTCAAATCTGGCCAATGATTGGTTTGACCACGACTTTTCCAGAAACTCACTTCCGGGCCAAACCACGACACAAGGCATGAAGGGTGAAACAAACTCAAAAGTCTGTCTATGCCTAGGAAAATATATGAGGTTTTATATTTCAGATGCAAAGAGGAAGCACAACTCAAAAGTCTTGAAGCAGATGAAAGGCAAAATTCTAGCTCACTCAGAAAGGTCACTTCTGTCAGTCCTATGAAGAAAACTTCAGATTCAGAGTAACACAGAGTCAGACCTTGGGAGATTATGCACTCTGGAAATGCACACCTGCACCGAAGGCATAGTGAGGATAACAGGAGCAGGTTCCTCTGTGTCTCACCCCAACATGACAGGATTGCATGGGAGGGAGTGCAGCACAGAGAGGAAAATGAAGGCTACAGGGCTCCATATTATGGCAGCAGCAGAGAGATGAATATTTTTAGAAAGGAATTGCTTCTCTGAAGCCAGAGATTTATGGCCATAGAAAAAGACACCTGAAAGATTCCTTCATAAGATATTAGTGGATAATTTGAGGTAGTGGTTAAACAACAAAAAAAAATCTTCTCTATAAAGAGACATCTTAAAAAAGTCAGCAACTGGCTTTTGAAACCAGTGTTGTGAAGGAGGTATTTCCTTAAAAACTTCATGGTTTTCTTTTTATCTTCAATAGAACAGGAAAAGTCATAACTGTACTAGGAATGTATTTAACGTTGATTTAATAACCTAAATATCTATTACAATTAAATAATATAGTAATAATTAAAGCTATTTTAGAGTTCTGCTAGCACTTTGCTTTCCACTGTGTGGAAAGACAAATATTTGTCCATGCCTGTCTATCATTTACAAACTTCTCAGCCTCCCTTCCTTGCATTTAGAACCTCCTGAAAATAGAGACTGCTAGAACACTGCCTCTTTGAGAGGAATTACGGAGCAAACAAGCCTGAAGATGCAACTTCTCAGAAAGGAAGAAAATAGAGGATTCACCGCCAATGTTATGTCTTGTCAAACATCCCTCCTTGGCCATACAAAGGAGTGGGGAAGGGAAGATGTACCGGGGGCATGCACGAAGACGCCCCGGTGCGGCAGGGGCGGGCGGCAGCGGGGAAGGGGCTCTGGGTGGGGAGATGCCCGGGGGACCGAAAAGGAGGCAGGCGAGGAGTTTCAGGCTGCGAGCACGGCTCGTCCCTACGCGTGGAGCGCGTTCTGCCGTCCTCGCCTGCAGAGCCGCTCGGCGGCGCTCCTGGCCCCGCGCTCCCGGTACGCGGCGGCGGCGAAGGTGCCGCCGCTCCTCCCGGAGCGCGGAGCGCCAGCGGATGAGGCTGCTGTGGCCCCGCCAGGCCTCTCCATCCTGCGGCCATCCCGGCGGGAAGGGGCGGCGGGCGGGCAGCTGGGGAAGGGCACGGCTCGGCTCCTGGCGGGGAAAGGCTCCAGCCGCGGAAACAACTCCTTCCCCGTTCGCCTGGCCGCCGCAGGGACACGGGACACCAGCGACGGCCCGACCTTACTCTGCCGGGCACGGTGCACTGAGCTTTGATGGCCACGCGGCTGTGGCAGCGTTCCTCCTGCAGACAGCTGCTGCTGCACCCTGGTCGTGGGCAGAGGGAAGGGAACTGGGAGCCACAGGTGAGGAGAATATCCAGTGCCAGTGCCAGTGAAAATGAGAAGTTGGATTCATTTTTCACTTTTAACACCCCAAACCGCCAGTTACATCACTTCCTGTTACTTCTTGTAAAACAAGAGCAGTGTCTGCTTCTGGTGACTAGGAATATAAATGCTCTGGTGTTTGTGAAGGGCTCCTGGTGTTAAGAATGAGCACTGTGTCTGTAGGGATTGTATTCTACGTTTTTTTAATGTTTTGGGGTTTCTTGCCTACTGAATACAGTCCAGGTCATGTGAAGACACTGAGTATTTAAGAAAAACCAAAACAACAAACCATCAACCAAACAACTCCAAAACTAATCAGAATGGATAAACAAATGAGACTAAATTTGTGTTGGTCAGCTCTGCCAGTATGATGATTAAAACAGACATATTAATGGAATTGTGTTGAGATAGCACTCTGTGGAAATGACAGTGACGTATGAGGGATGAACACTCTGCCAAGCAAAATACTGAAAAAATTCTAAATGACTACTGAATACTGACAAATCTCTGTCAGTTGTATTTAATTCTTATTTTATGATTAAATATTATAATGATAAATAATGATGATTAAATATTATAATGATTTTTATATCTAATGTAAGCTATTTTTACCTTCAGAATAAAGTAGTTGGATGGCAGTAGGGTTTTTTTGCTTCAGTATTGTTTTGTAGAACAGCAATTCAAAATGTGCTTGTGCAAATATTTAATTATTTCTACTATTTATGTTTCTAAGCTCTAGCAGACAAGGAACACCATGCACTAAATGATTATTTCAGCCAATGAAACCAGGTTTTGTTACATCTGACTAAGTCCCCAAGTTTTGGAGGAAAAGTTAAAAGAAAGTAATGTCACCTCTCACTAACTTAGCAAAAACTGTTTCCACTTTACATTTATCCAAATAATGGTGCATCTACAGCTGAAGAAAAAGGCTTTTTGTGCCTCTGTACAACACACCACAATTCGGTTATGACAATACACTGCTGGAAATTCCTGTGATAATCTTAATCAATACAACTGATATAATGTAAATTACAGTCAACAGTTTTGACTAGAAACACAAAACACAACCTCCCAGTCAAAGTCACAGAAATGAGAATAAGATTTATTAACTCCCAGAATAACATCTGGTTTGCATAGCAGATTGCTCCTTTACATAAAAGGATTATTGGTAAATTAGCATGATCCTTTTACCTATTCCTCATGTTCCATAGGAGCTTTAATAAATTATCCCCAGAAATTTGCTGCATCCAAGCTTGACTTAATGTTGTGCATATTTTCTCGACGCTGCTTGGTGTAAATATTTGCCTCCCCTTTTTGCAGCCGTTGCTTCAGAGCAGATTTCTGCTGCTTGGTCAGCTGACGCTTTATCTTCTGTTTCACCAGCTCCTACAAACAAACATGCAATTTGTCATCAAAACTTCTTTAAATCATTTAGCAGTATGACGTGACATGATGTCAGAATCTTTTCAGGACCAGCATGAACATTCATGATTCATGATGTTCACCTTGACTGTAGAAATGAACAGTGTTCTTTTCTTGTAAGAAAATTATAAAACAGTTCAGCTGACTGAAAAAGTGGATTCTCTGCTATGGACAAGGTCTGCATGGAGTGTTGTGTGTGTGCTCTGATAGTCTTCATTAAAATAAATAACATTTTAAATATTTTTATAATTTTGAAGTTAATCTTCAAGTGTGTTCCCTACTGAAATGCTAAAGGACTCACACCTCTCAGTGCAGAACACAGGCCTTACAAAAAAATGTAAAAGCTGATTATACTGCAGAACATTCCATGCCCAGCAGTAATTGTTTGGTTTGTGCTTGTTTTTTTAGCACAGTGGTTATTCCAAAATTTAGATTACAAAAATATGACTGATTCTAACAGAAAACAAGAAATCTCCAAGAAGAGAGGTGAGAAAGGCAAAATTTAATCTAAACTCAAGTATCCACATTCAAGATAAAAAATATTAATTGCGACTAGCAACAGAAATGGATGAACTGATACTGTTAGTGCATTAACATATATTAATATAAATTAGTTACTGGGTAAATGAGAGTTGTTAGTGTTGATATGGAGCTTCAGTGAGAGAACAAAAAACAAAATATGCAGGAGAATGCTGGACAGCATTCCTTGTAAGCAGTTACAGCAGTATAAGTCCAATTTTTCTGTGGAAATGGAGATACACACTGGAGAGGTAGATGGCAACTGTTTTTAAAGATGATTCATGCCAGAGAAGAATTTCAGAAACAGGATCTAACAGCTATGTGCAATTTAAGGTGGTGAGAGGGTAAACTAGATGACAACATAACAAAATAATATTTACCGGAGGAATGGTTGAACAGCTCCCAGCACTTCTGACTGATGTGATGCTCTTAGTCCTTGTTCTGTGCCCAGCCATGGGAACAATACACTTTTCATTACTGAAACACATAAATCAATGCATTACCCCATGAGCAAGATAAATACACCTTTGCCTTTACAAGCACCCGGTTTGTGTCTTCATTTTCTGGGCTACAATTGAAAACTTGTAACAGTACATGCAAGCTTTAACTGTCCAAGACAGGCACTTTGTGAAAGAATAATTTGTTTCACAACAGGCATGTAAGTATGGAGCAGAAGAAGGGAAACCTCAGGGGACTAAAACACTTCAGATCCTGCACAAGGTTTTGACAGTATTTAACAGAAAAGCAAAAGCAAAGGAAGAGTATTATCTCTACATCCACATACATGGTGGGCCGGCAAACTCAAGAAATATAATTTCACACACAAGGGATTAGTCTGAAGGCCAGCAGGAATTTCTAAGTATGTCAGGAAAGGAATTAAAAGCCAGAACAATATACAGTACAATATATTTGAATTAAACACTCCAAGCAGCTTGTTCTTGATAACTTCAGCTGACTGAGTAGCAGAACATTTGCCTTTGACACAAAGTATTTGAATTATAAACTTCCTCAGGGAAGTTATTTAGAAGCAGTATTTTAACATCAAGAACTCCTTCATTATCAATATTAGCTGAAATGAAGACAAAGGAGAAAAATCCACCACAGAAAACAGGTTGGTCTTTGAAGTGCAAAACCATTTGATTTTTCTCATTAGATAAATACAACAGAGCTAGACAACAACACCAAAAATAGGAAGGATATTTACTGGTATATTTTCAAAATAAATTTAGTTTTTAGTCTTCAGTTTTAACAAGGGCAGCGGAAGAGCAGTCCTTCTTGAGCTACTTGACACATTTACATTTTTGGGGGCAGGGAAAGGGCCAGACTTCTAGACAGTCAATGTGAATCTTTACCTGTAATGACTGAATTCCTCATTTAAAGCTGATGAGTTGACCAGCTCAGGGCACTCATCTTCATTCTTCTTACCCTCACAGCATCCACCTTGACCTGCCTGACCTTCCAGTTCAGCAGCACTTTCAGTTAGTCTTTTGCCCTTAAAAGAAGTGATTGCAGAACTCTCTGCATCTTCACCAGACTTCCAAGCCACAACTGGCCCTTCATCTTCTTCCAAGGCTGAACTCAACTCTGCCACATTTAGTCTTTGTGTATTTTCCCTGCTTTCAGCTGTATCAACCTCTTCCTCACTGCTGCTTGCAGCATTGTCAGAGGCTCTGCTTTCAGAGAAATCACCTCCTTCACATGTGAAGTCTTCACTGTTTTGTTCATTTTTGCTGAAGAAGTTGAGCTCTTTCTCAGCATTCTCTGGAAGTCCTAACACCTCTGTATCGTCATCCTCGTCAGAACCTGTGGGGTAAAGCAGTTCACCATCTTCCTCCATTTCCTTTGCATAGCCACTGGCAGCAATCTCTTTATCAAGAGAACACTCTCTCCTGTAAAAAAGGAATGTTTTCTTTTAATATGCTAAATTTAATAAGCCAAGTTACCAATATACTACATTTTGGGTTTAAAATGCCAACGAAATTAGACTAAAATTACCCACTATTAACAAAAAAGGTACAGTGTTGAAGGACACAAAATACATGATGGTGCTGAGCTTTTGGTGAAATACTAATTTAGAATGTAATCCAAGAGAAGGAAACTCCTCCAGAAGATGATTCCATCTCCATAACCTGCATTTATAGTTGGGGTTTTTTTCAGGAAATTTTTCTACTTTAGCAGGAATAACATTTTGGTTTAAGTTCAAATCATGCTTAAGCAAGCAGAATAATAAAGGATCTTACATACAAGGGCTGATTAAAGTGTGGAACTCCTTAGGAAAAGTGTTCATTGTAACAGTTTCAGTCTCTTTACACAGTTTCAGTGTAAGTTTTGCTCTTAAAATGAGTGAAAAGTAAATTTACTTTTCAGAGGGAGCAGAAGACTCTAGGAAGAAAAGTTTAAATGTAATAATCCCTAAGGAGGCAGCCACTCTAATTATAAGCATTTAAAAAATAATTTTGAAACAGAAACCCAAATAAATCTTCACTATATCAGAATTGTTAAACTGTCAATTAAAATCAAACAGGCTGATTCTGCATCACTGTTAAAATTTCCTGGACATTCACCATTTGGATCAAGCTTTCAGGTTGACTTCTCTTCCTTGATTGCAAGAAGACAAAGAAGGCAGCAGAGGATTTTAAAGCACACTTGAAAACCACTTACTTGAAGAAAACACAATAGAGATGAGAAAAATATAACTTAAAATTACATAGTCAGGCCTATTTTTTTTATTTCTCCCATAAGCATCTCTCATAGGAATTCACTTTTCTCAGAATACCAATACTAGTGCCGTAAGTAGAACTCAAATTCATCTGGTCATTTCTACCTGATGTCTTTGAAGGTTGGGAAGAGCTCACTCTCATAGTTGAAGCGTTTCTTGAAGAACTCCTTAATACAGTTAACATCTCTGTTAAAATACCTGTAAAAAATACAGAATTGTACAAACAAAAAAATCAGTGAAGTCTATTGCAATAAGAAGCATTTACCCTACACAGTTTTATTTGAAAATAGCCAAAAGACTAGGAAGGGAAACTGGATACAGTTCATTTCTGAGTGTTACTTAACCAAACAATATTATCTCTGAGAAGCAATTAATCACATATTTATTCTGCAGAGATATTGCTACTCATTCTTTGTTTGGAACATTACTTGTGCTGCATCACAACACTGGCAGAAAAAGATTCAGGAGAAGACTTATGGAAACAAGTCATGGTTGACTGTTTGCTTTCATCAGCATTTGTCAGATTCACCTGGGAAACACCTTTAGATCTAAACCTACCATTCAGCATTTGCATGTGATGTTGACATCATCTGAGGGAAATCAATCAAAGTGGCATGGTCGTTATTATCCAAGATCAGATTAAACTCATTGAAATCCCCATGGATCAGACCATGATTGGCAAGTTTTACAATCAGGTCCATTAATTCACTGTAGACGGCAGCAGGATCTTCCATTTGGCGCACCTGGCACCTGAAAAGTTGAGGAAAATTAAAAAATCTCAACCTTGAAAGACTTGATTTAAAAATACAGATAAAGTATATGAAATACATTTGACAGAATGCCAGAGTAATTCAAATTAAAAGGGCCCTCAGGTCTCTGGTCCAGCTGGGTCAAATCTGAGACCAGACCACAGTGCTCAGGTCTCTGTCTAGTTGGGATAGAAAACTTCTGGGAATGGAGAAAAAAAGTGAAACCTTCACAAGCAACTTGTGCCACTGCCGCTCTGTCCTCAAGAGGAGCAAAAAAATACCTCCTTATATCCAGGCTAAACCTAACCTGAACTCACTCATTGTCTCCCATTGAGCACTCCTCTCATAATGCATTATGTAAATAATGGACTAGCAAACTTTTATGTTTCCCCTGTTTTAGGTAATCTTATGATGTCAGTAGGAGCTAAATCTTCTTACACTGAAATTCAAATGGCCCGTGGAATTTTCTTTTACAAAATCAAACTTTCTAGATTATGTTAGGAAAAGAAGAAAAACTAAACTTCCACTGCAGACTGCCACAAGGAACTTAAAGTGTTCTATTAACACAATGGATGTAGAATTATTTAACAAATGAGAGTGGCAAGTCTTTTCTACATTATTCTTCAACTGTTTTACTTTGGAATTAATTCCCTTTTGATTAAACTTAAAATCTTGAATCCTATACAAGACAATGGACCAGTTAGTTCTATAACTAGACACCTCAATTCTCTGGATTAGACCTGGGTTATTGTATGAAAGAGACAGGCATTTTGCATTCAAAAGCAAACCAACCCTTCACCTACAAACCTCAATAATATTTAATGTTTCTAGAGGTTGGAAAACTCAAAGCAAAATAATGTTTCTCTAAGAAACAGATTATACGTGGTAGTCTGTTATAAACAGCACAGAACTGAGTTACAAACTCACCTGTATTAACAGAGCAAGGATCACAAAGTGGAGCTCAGAACATGAGGAATATTAATACACTATATAAGAAGTAACATATAGAATGTGCAATTTCTGTGTAGAAAACAAGGAAAAATCCTAACTGTGTTACTTTTCCTAAGGTGGTCAGGGTCTCTGTAACATACAGAATTCAAGCTTTCACTACTTACAAAGGATATCCATCAACAAGTTCCATAACAACTGCATGCCTGTTGTAGTCTATGGGCTTTGGAACAGGAAATTCTCTGTCATGCAAAGCCTGGAAAGAGATAACACATTGAAAAATTAAAATTAAATAGTTAAGGAAACATTACACATATTGACAAACCCCCACCTAAGATAAGCAGTACATATCACTGTGATAGCAGCATATATTGCCCAAATCACATGCCTAGGAAGGAAAACAGCCTCACAGCCATTGGAACTCTCACTGCAAAGACAATAAAATTAGACACTGAGTGCACTGCCTACAGTTTAATTACCATGCATCTGGAAGAAAATCAGAACAAACTGGAGAAATGACAAAACTTTACCTGGTACATTAGTCTGTGGAATCAGTAATAGAAACAGGAAATGGGGTGTTTGGCTTTAGAAAAGAATTCCACACTAAGCTGCTGCCAATAGACTCCTGGCCTGATTAGTCAATCTATACTCAGTTGCTGTAAACACAAGTATGTTTGTTTGTGTATGTGAACACAAGTTCATTTCTAAATGGTAACAATCAGCTTTATACCACACAGCTATATACTATCTTACATAAGATTAACCAAAGATAGGTCATAATATTCTGAAGCTCTCCTGTTTGCATTTTCTAGCACAAATTTAGTCATTCACTGGATCCACTCAACTTTTTTAGGGGTTCATTCTGTTTTCACTCATTCTGGTTGTTACCAGTGAACTTTTCTAGAGAGTCCTAAGTTAAAGCAACATAAATACAGTTTTTATTACTTAAGTATTACTGCTTTTCATCACTCAATTAAACCTTACCCAATCCTCTGCTCAGGAAACCTGACCCTCACAACTACATTCCTACAGGTTCTGATCACACAAGGCTTTACCAGCTGGACCACCTGGACAGAGGTTCTAAATGATGGTGTTAATTCTTTCTCTCTCCGTGGAAGCCACTGAGACAATTAATCATGGTTGTTTTTTTTTTACAAGAACTTAATTTCATGTATATATTACTCCTGGATAATACAAAAGGAGAAATGAAACTAAGTTTTTATTAATAATTAGTTTTCAGCTACCATCTTTCATCAATATACAACATTTGTGGTTTTTTGAAGCAGGTAAAAAAACCACAGAATTCAAGATCAGCAGTATAATGAAATATTTTCTCACACTGCAGAACTAAGTGTGCCTTTTTAGATCAAAACACCAGTTTTGACCTGAAAGATTTCCCTCAACAGCACAGCAACAAGTGAAAGCTTTGTAAAATAAGAAACAGGTTAATTTTAAGAAATGACAACTCCTTCCTAGTTTATGCAATAAATTTTGAAGGAAAAACTGCAGAACTGGTGATATACAGATTATCTATCCATAAATAACCTAATTAATTTGAAATTCTCTCATGATACCTGAAACTGTTCTATGTGATTTCAATGGCAAAACTTAATTTTGGCACTGGGAAGCGTTCAAAGAATGTTGCATTGAAACTTTCTGAAATGTATACTTTAAATCCATGAGGGGAGAGAAAAAAATGAAGCATAAATCCTACCGGTACTGCAAACACAAAGTGATCAAAAGACAGCCTGAGAAGCATCCTCCAGCCTGTCCCACCATTGCTGGCTCTGTGTGAGTGGGCACCTACCTTCATGTAGGCAAACTCCTTCATTGCTGCTATCCGGGACAAGTACAGCCAGGACATTTTGTGCCTGTGCTTGTGGTAGTCACGTTTGTTTTTCAGGTTGCGAAAGGAGGTTCTCCCCAGCCGGTGCAACTTCAGAGCAAACTGTTGCTCTTCTTCATTGGCAACAATATAAATATCTAGAAAATATGTAACAGCACAGACCTAAGAAATTAATCATATGTAACAAGCCAGATGAAAAAGTGTAGTGAAAGTTTGTTACCTCACTCCTCACCCTTTCTCACCCACAAGTTTTAGCGAAGGCAGCTAATTTCATAGTGTGCATCAAAAGTTCAAACATGAAGAAACTACTGTTAAAGAGTTCATGGTACTCTAATAAAGGAAATGCTGATGGGATCTGAAGTATCTTTCAATGCTCTGATGTTCTTAACCACATCCTGGAAGAGCTTCTCCTTCCTGATGAATGGACAGACAACCCAAGGGACCAGACTCTTAATTTTGTGTTAACAAATACCCTAAACTTAATTTCTAGCATTTGCCCCAAATAATCCCCTTCTCCAATTACAAAAGTCACATTCTGTGTTAAACTACATGAACATAACAGGAACGAAGATAGTGTTCCAATAGTTTTGAGTCTATTTTACTTTACTGCCTTATTTTTAAGTGGGATGAAAAAGCTGAAATTATATTTTTGTTACATGGTTTAAAACTCTTCACAAAGCACAACACAAGCAGCACCTGCCTGTGAAGCACCTTTTTAAATAATGGATTAAGAAATGAACAAAATGGGCAAAATGCAATTACGCTGTTGTAAAAAAAATACTCAAATGTAGCCAGAAGCCTCACAGAGCACTTGAACATGCTATGTTCAAATATATCATGGGGTTTGACAGATTAACTAATCTGCTTATCCAGAGGAAAACTCCCTTAGTTTCTAGCAAAATATTTGCAGTATTACAGAATTATTTTAAATGTTATTTTAGTTTACCTGATTCTTTGCCAACACCCATCTGGTTCCCCACAGAACTGATGACTTGTCGGGAAGAGAGAGTTTTCAGAGCCAGGTAATCATATCCTGCATTAGTTAACCGATAACCCTGGACGGCTGGGTAAAAATAAAATACATTTCACTCTTTGTTATGTATACATCACATTTAAAATAAATCTCAATTTAGTCTTGTTTCTTGCAGTACATAGTGCCCAAGTAATATTTCACCCCTTGGCTCTTACCAGCCCCATTTGACTGAATGGTGAAGGTGTTTAAATTGGATTGCAGCAACCCTCAATCCTCTGAAGAACTGGGACAAAAGGGAGAACACAGACATCCCCACTGTGTTCACAGGGCCAGATCCAACTAAAAGGCTGAAGGGAATGGTGGGAGGCCTGCACAACCTTGTCATACAGCAGATAATAAATACTGCTTTAGCAGCTGTTCCTGAGGCAGTGAAATGTCCAAGGATTGCGCAGTCTGTTCCAGAACTGTGGGGCTATCACCCACTTGGGCTGATTCCTACATGCACTTGAACGATTCTTTTTACCTTATTCTGAGCAAAAAAGAAAGTTAACTGTTCATCTTTTTTCTGTCTCTCACTTCTGAAGACACAGGCAGACACAGCACCTGGTGCTGTACAAACCCACATTTCCAGGCTGACTCCAAGAAAAGGCACAGCAAACACTGTGGGCACTCCTACAGCCCAACCTGTTGGGCAGGTGCCCCTGTGAGGCACTGGGGACAGGATAAGAAATGGAGTCCAACACAGAATTCAAACTCACTTTTAGTTCGTTCATAAGCCAGAAGTTTGTGCTTCGCCAACTCTCTCAAAATTTTATTACAGCCACCATGTTTAAGGCTGGCAATGGAAGCAATTAAGCTAGCAGGAACTATTTCATGGTTCTTCATGCCCATTTCCACCTAAAAGAGTAATTAAAAACAGATTTGTCAGTCCTGTGTTGATGTACAATGAAGTACAGAACCTGGTCAAGAGTAAAATCCCTTTTTAAATATGCAATTTTTAAAGACTACAAATTTTAAGACTTAACTTTCTACGTTTTAAGCTTTAACAAACCTTTCCACTTGCTTCACTGCTCCTTGGCAGTCTGTGTACAACCCACCCACGGAAGTTCTTCAGTGCCAGCCACGACATGAGTGGCTAATTAGATTTCAGTCCCAGAGGCAAAGAGCAGAAACGCTGGGGATGCTGCCTCACTGTCACGGGTCTGCGACCACCCGGGCACCCCCAGGGACTTCCCTGGCATCCCCAAGAACTCCCTGTGCCTCCCAGTTCACCCCAGCCCGGCGGCCGAAGGAGATACCGGCCCGAACCGGGCCCTCCCCAGACAGGCCAGCACGGAGTCCCCGGGGCGGCAGCGGCACCAGCGGAGGCGGCTCTCTCACTCCTTCCCTCTCTCCCTCTCTCCCTCCTTCCCTCTCTCCCTCTCTCCCTCCTTCCCTCCCTCCCTCCCGGCCCGGCCCGGCCCGGCCCGCTCACCGCGGTCAGCACCCTGAAGTGCTCCCGGGACAGGTACCGCAGCATCACCACGTTCAGCTTCCCCATGGCCGCAGCGGCAGAGGAGTAGGGGTGGGAAAAAGAAGGAAAGAAGGAAAAAGATCAGGAAGAGGATGAAGAAAGGGATGCAGCGGACGAAGAGAAGGAGCGCAGGCCGCGCATGCGCAGCTGCGCCCTGGCTAGGTCCTGGCAGCTGCGTGCGCCGCCGCGCTCCGCCGGGTCCCGCCGCGCTCCGCCTGCCACCGAGCCGGGAACCCGGCCCGAAACGTGGAGAAACTGTGCTCCAAGCTCGGCGAAACCCTCTTCCATGCCAGCCTGCCGCGGGGGAATTTTTTGGGACGCCCGTGCAGCTGCCAGGACCTGTTCCCCTGAGGAGTCGTTCCCGCTCGTCACGTGACGCTGTGGGACTGTGTGGAATGCCGGGGAACGGCGTGGTCGGCGTGGCTGGCAAAGAGCTCTCTTGCCCCAAGGATAACGCGGTGTTGCCAACCCGTTTAAATACAAATCCAGACGTTCTGGCAAGCTAATGTAGAGAAAAACTCTTTGGTTTTCATTTACACTTCATAGCGAATATTTCACTCGGAGAAAGTGAAGAACGTTCACGTTCCATCACGTACACCCCTGTAAAAGCAAGTTCTGAATGCCAAAATGTCAACACTCATGGCAGTTTCCGTCACGTTAACATGCTAGAACCTCGTCTGGCGTATTTCTTGCTCTCCCATATTTTTTTTCCTTCTTTTTCCCCCACTGTCTGTTGTAGGTATGAAATAAGAAGGCAAGACATTTTCATTTCTCTCAGCCAGCCATCTCTGTACAGCTGTCTGTTCAGATATCTTCAAAAAAAAAAAAAAAAAAGAAAACCCAAACAAAATCCAAAGAGAAGACAGCCCCATCAGAAGCACATACTGTGAACAAAGACCCTTATTTACTATTTGTGATCTCTGACTCCTACATCCCTTGTAGACTGTATGTTTGCTCATTAAATTTCCATACTTTATTGTAGTTTGTGAATTTTAGAGACTCTACAATTGTTACAGATTACAGGCAAAGTTAATTTTATCTGTCTATCTTTGTTTTCATCCACCTGCTAATGCCAAGGTCAGTACTCTCAGATGAGTCCATTTCACACAACAGGAAACAGGCTGAACTGCATCCTCCAAAGTACTTTGATATTGGCCCAATTCATCATCCAGCTGACACAAGACAAGCATTCCCTTTTTCAGGCACATCTAGTAGCAAATGAAGACCATTTTTCCTACTCTTTACTGTTTTTTTGATTTCTTTTTTTTTTTTAAGAACTCTTGGCTTTTCTGCCTTGCTCTGATTCTAGACGTGTGAACTGAAAAGATCCTGTCACTGATTCTGGAACAGATTTTGCCACCTGGTTAGCAAGGGAAGAAGGAAAAGAAACTTCCAGCTTCAGGAGACAAGGAAATGAAGACATGAGGCTTGGTGGCCTTGTCCAGATTTCCCTTATGAGTTTATGACCTTTGTCTGTATTTTCCTTTATAATCTGACTGCCTGAAGAACCAGTGAGTAAATTCTGTGTTCCTGATATTTCACTATTCCATTTGCCAACAGAGATAAAGGAGCCCAAAGAATCCACAACTCTGTAGTTATAAATTATTCTGCCAGGATGTCTTTTTTTAAGCGTGTCAAATCTCCAGGAAGAGGAGATCAAATCATTACAGTCAGATTTATTGACAGCACTCAGAAATTCTATTTCTATTCAGAAGTAGAAAATGCAATGCGAAATACCTACCTTTTTCTTCTTCAGAATTTCATGAAGATTTGTTTTGCTTTCTGTGACTGTACTTTTGGAAAGATTACAATACAAACTGCTCTTTCATGTACAGGAACTTCTGTGTGAACTCGTGAAAACAAAACAAAAAACCCCCCAACAAACAAACAAACAAAAAACCACCAAAAAAGCAGACAGCTAAAAGAAGACAGCTGATATCCAGAGACAAGAATTAAATGGTTACTTTTTCCTTTAAATAGAAACTGTCTGGATGCTTAAGGAGAATGCATCCCATCTGATCCACAGCTCAGGGATGTAAAGTTGTAAAGTCTGGTGGCATGTTCCACAAATTCATGGATTACTTAGATAACACTGCACTGCAATTATGCAGTGTTCTGATGTTTTCAAGTGAAAGTAAGTGTGAGGAAAAGCAGAAATAAAGCTCAACTGAATTATGTGTTATAAAACCCACCAAGTTTCATATTCTGGAAAGAAAACATCAATTTTGACTATGTTGAGTGTTTCATTCCATGAGAGCTCTTGTTGACATATGGTAAGATATAAAACAGGTCAATTGAACAAATTTTCATATTTTGTTTGTTTTTTCCTTTTGAGAAAGGGAAATGGGAAGATCACAGCATCCTGAAGGCTAGCACAGACTAATCCTCACACCAGTTCTGTTGGCAACTCCAATTATTTTGACAGCCAGATCTGGGCCAACCAGGAACAGTACGAAGAAATCCAGCCAGGCAGACAGCTACAGTGCCATTCATCAGCCCTGGAAAAAGCATTCCAGAGCCTGGCATCTGTGCTCCAGAGCTTGCCAAGCACATCCCCAGAGTGGCCCCACAGGCATTGGTTTTCACAGCAGCAAAACAGAAGGAAAGCAGATCTCTGTGAGCCACAGTGTGAGCAGTGGGAAGCACACTGCCACGGTCCTGAGAATCACAAAGATAAAAGCTGTGAAACTCACCCACTGGGATAAGGACAGTTTAATAGGGGAAGCAAAGACTGCACAGACAAGCAAAGCAAAATAAAAAATTAATAACCTGCTTCCAATGGTTAGACTGGTGTTCAGTACCTCCAGCAGAGCAGGGTCCCATTGCACATCCGTGACTTGGAAGGACAAATGCCATCACTCCACATGTCCTCTGCTTCCTTCTTCCCCCATTTTTTTATCCACTGAGCCTGATGCCATATGGTCTGGAATATCCCTTGTGTCAGTTTGGGTCACCTGTCCTGCTGTGTCCCCTCCCATGTATCCCCAATCCCTTCACCTGTGTGACAGTAAGAATAACAGCAAAGGCCTTGGCTTTGTGCAAGCCCTGCTCAGCAAGAGCAAAAACATCTCAGTATTATCAGCCCTGAGTTCAGCACAGGTCAAAAATACAGCTCCATGACAGTCCCTGGGAACAAAATCAACTCTACCCCAGCCAAAACCAATACAGAGGTGCAGAGTAGAAACTGTGGAGATGGCCCCCTTGTTGATCCCCACTGGATCCTGTCAGTGCCCCGCAGCAGGAAAAAAAGGCAAGGGGCAGCTGGCAGTGCCCACGCTGCACCAGTGCCTCACAGTGCAGGGAAAAAAGAGCAGAACTGGTCTGCAGGGAAAAAAGAGCAGAACAGGAAGAGCCAAACCTGCGCACAGCACAGTGAACCTTTATTACTGAAATTCACAGCTCTCACCCCAGCCAGAGGGCCGTGCTGCTGTCCTGCAGCACCAGCCAGGCACAGGGATGCTCTGTGGGGGGACTCACTGCTGCCAGATGATTTTCAGGTTCGGGGGCAGCTCTGCGGCCGCGAGTTCATCGATCTCGGTGCCGTCCTTGACGGGGCTGCGATAGAAGCCCAGCACGTCCCCGGCGCGGCGCATGCGGTGCAGCTGCGAGTTGGGCACGGCGTGTCCCAGCTCTGCCGCCAGCCGGGCCAGCAGGCGATGCTTCAGCCTGGTCTCCTGCAGGGGAGCCTGCTGCCAGTCCTCGGGAACAGCGGGCCCGAAGACCTCCCTGACGTGGGACTCGAGGCAGCTCTGCAGGTCCTGGGGCGGCACGTAGCTCCGGCGGCGAGGCGGGGGGCGGATCAGGCTGGCCTCGCTCCTCTCCTCCTTCTCAGGAACTGCTCCGTCTGCTTCCACTTCTCTTCCCTCCTTCCTGCTGGCACCAGAACACACTTTCAGCCTCTGCACTACTCAAGACAGAGTCAGAGCGTTTTTGTATTCGTGGTGTTTTAAACCACTCACTCCAGACACTCCACACATCCCCTGGACTCGTCAGGTCTGTCAGCCACAAGTGCACAGGCGTTCCCCGGTGCTGCTCCGCACACGGGCTGCCTCTGCAGAGCCATCACCCACCCACCTTCTTTCACTGGTCTGAGTGAAAACAGCCTTTTAACAGGATCAGCTACTTCTTTTCTTTTTGGAGTTACAGCTCCATTTTCTAATTTGCTGTGAATAAAAAGCGTATCAGAAAATAACTACCACAGAAGAAAATCAGTGCCCATATGTAAAAAAAAAAAATTAAAAATCATTATTAGTTTTTAAGTAAAAAACTTTGTCTTCTCATATGCCCCTAGTCAACAACCCATGCGTGGTTTCACGCAAAATGTCACAGAGGAACTGGTTTTCGATCCGCGAAATCCCACTCTTCCCACTCGTAACGAAAGCAGCTCTAAAGGCTCCAACCCTGCACCACCGCAGCCCGGCAGCAGCGCGCCTCGGCGGGCGCTGGCTGCCCAGAGAACCCGCGGAGTCTCCTTCCCTGAGGACATTCCAAAGCCGCCTGACAAACCCGGAGCGACTTGCTCAGGGGCTGTCTGTCGGGCTAGATGACCTCCACGGCCCGGTTAAGGCCCGGCATGCCCCCCAGAGCGCCCTGACCCCCGGGGGCCCGAGCCCCGGGCTCCGCCGCGCCGCCGCCCGCAGCGCCCGCACCGCCGCCATGCTGGGGGCGCGCCGGGCGCCTTCCCGCGGCCACCGCGGGTGACGCATTTGCGCCGCGCCCGCAGAGCCTCATGGGAAATGTAGTCCGTCCCCTCAAGCCAGCCCCCTCTCTGGGAAACGGAACTTTCCTCAGGAAAGTGGAAATCTCCTTAGGAAAAGGCGTTCTTTGATGTTTGGTCTTTGTGTACTCTCAGGCCTAATCGACAAGCAGGGAGATTTAATCAAGCAGACAACAAGATGTACCTGATGGTCAGGTGTTGAAAATCTGCAGAACCACAGAATGCTGAATTGTAAGGGACCCATCAGGACCATTGAGTCCCACTCCTGGTCCCGCACAGCACCATTTCCAAAAGTCACACCATATGCCTGAGGGTATCATCCAAAAGCTTCTTGAGCTTTGTTGCTATTTCAGTGACTTCCTGAGTGTTACACTGCTTTTCCTCTGGAAAATCACTGGAAAATCTAGCATGGAAATGTATTTTCCAGATGGTATATGGAAAGGCAAAATGTGATGGTACAGTATCAGATTTAATGAAGAACCAAGTTCTGATATCCTGTAACACAATGTACATGTGAAAATTATGCCTGTCAG